ATGCTTACATTACCCCCCTAAGGTTAATTTCGTGTACAAGGGCAAAATTGGTATTATCGGAGGAATATTCGGGAGAATCAAAAAGATTCTATCGAGTCTAACACCGTTAGAGCGATTTGTAAGACGTCTGCATACCTCAGGGGGGTTTTCGTAATTACGAGAACATGGGGGGGATTTTCGTTATTTAGGCTTACCTCAGGGGGGTTTTGGTAATTTGCCCTAAATCAAATAATGTGTGACACAAGAAATAGGCGGTCCTACCTAACGTGTAGGGCCAAATCAAGCCATAAACTATGGGGGGTTTTTTTTTTCTCCAAAAACTAGGGGTGAGCAAAAAAATCGAGAAACCGCGAAAACCGAAAAAATCGAGCCGATATATACCGTCCCGACTTAAAACCGCATATACGGTTAATTTTTTTTGAAAAACCGAAAATATCGGTTTGTGTATGTAGAATAAAAAAATTACCGAACCGATTTCCCGAACCGAACCGATTTATACAAAATAATGTTTTTTTTAATATATAGTATAAATACTTACACTAACGTGCCTCTATCTTTCGAGCGCCTCCATGTGACATGTTTTTCTAGTAATTAATTTTGGATTGTGACATGTTTTTTATTATTTAATTTTTGGTTGTTATTTGTTAATTTTCTCTAATAAATATAATGAAAGTCCAAAAATATCGGTTTTATGCCGAACCGGTTCGAACAAATAGACGAAATCGAAACCGAAAATAAACCGAATTATACCGATACCGTTAACCGAAAACCGAAAAACCGATTAACACCGAACCGAAAAAAATCGACATATTCGGTTTTTAAAAACCGAAAAACCGATATTATCGGTACGTGTTTGGTTTATTGGAAAAACCGAACCGTACCGACCCGTGCACACCCCTACCAAAAACCACCCCTGTGTAATTTTGAATTTGCTGAAAACACCCGCGTATTAAAAAAATTAGCACATAACGCCTGTGAAAATTAGTTAAAGGCAAAAAGGGCCATGCGAGATCAATATGCCATACACTCGCGACTTGAGCGACTATACATGTGTTTTTTGAGTGAAAAATACCCAATACCCTTTAACTAATGTTTCTCTCAAAATTACTGATTTACCTATGACATTTAAAAAAAAACCCTCTTTTCAAATCAATCCAAAACCTTATCCCCTTTTAAATGAAGGAAAACTGTATTAAATTAAATTACGGGTGCAAATGCGTTGATGAGCCAGCTCGACGAAAGTTCGAGCTCTTCTAGGTCAGGTTTTTTTGACAAGCTTAAGTTAGAGCCAAATTTTTAGTTGTTTACAAGTCACAAATCAGCTAAGGAGCTATTTTGATTTATTTTATATTTTTTATATAATATAATATATACGTATAGTCATACAATAATAATAATAATAATAATAATAATAATAATAATAATAATAATAATAATAATAATAATAATAATAATAATAATAAGAATAATAATAATAATGAATAAGGGGGAAATTACAAACAGCCCCTGAGGGATGGGCAAAATTACGAAAAAACATCCCCTCTTTGTTTTGGGATAATTTACAAACCACCCCCTCCAACTCCCTCAAATTAAGTGGGAATCTTCGGAGATTATATGGGAAATATTATCACTTTTTGTACCCCGGTTTTTATCTCATTCAAACCTCTACATTTATTGAAAGGCAAGATGAATCAATAAATATTGTGATTTTTTAAGCTTGGGATAATATCCAGGTTTGTGGGGGG